TTTGGTTGCACAACTTCCCTCTATCATATACACTCAGCGACACCGATGTCAGCTGACTGTGGTCTGCGCATCTAGGTAAAAGACAGACCTCCATGGTCTGCGCAAGTCAAAATCGTCATCTTTGTTCATATGAAACCCATATCTTGCGCATGCGTGATGCGACGACCACCGTTCTTTAAGTATCTATTGTAATACAGGTACTAGTAATGCATCCGAGAAGGGTAGGTCGGGATATCTTTGAAACTCCGTTGTTTCAGTCGGATACAGTGTGGAATTAGCATCGATTGCTCGGACACCAGGATGTGTCTGTGGATGCACGTGACTACGTGATGAGTTAAAACAACTATACTAGTATGCTATTTCAGTGAACCTGACTTGTGCCGAAAGTGTGGTTACTAACTTTGAAAAAAAATTAGTACACTGCAACGAGTTACATTCCTACAAAGAACACGTTCTGCGACAGATAGTGAGTGATCAAGTTTTATTCGCGGGTATTTGGAAATCAGAAATATTTACGTGATTTCTACACACCGCCTTTCATGACGGCAAGGCTTTCGAATAGGGGCCCGGGATAGGGGTTCGGACTGAATTTGATTAATTGATAACAGTCGATACGCCGCACGGTGTTCAAATGACAATGAATGCAATGAATATCGATTGAGGGCGCATTTTCAATTAGCAATTAAAAATTGTTGTAAGTCATATGGTAATATATGGCAGCAAAAATAATAATAAAAAAAAGCAAGCCCAAATGAGTATGTATTCATTATATTTGAGAATGGCTGGCACATATTTAGGAAAGGAAGCTGTCAAATGAATGTATGTGAGCTGAGTATTTTAGGCAACGATTGAAATGCATGACATTAAAAAATTCTAATTAGCATATTAACAGAGCGAATACACATTTAAAATGATAATGATATGAGAAGCTAAATCTGCAGTTGTTTGTCATTTATCTCTCCAAAATATTTTCAAAACATAGTTGAATTTTGGTGACCTTGCCCTTTGTTATATAATATAATTCCCTTTATCATAGTTTGTTTCAATATAAATATGCATTGTCATAATTAATTTTGAATACAAACAAGTTTTGGGGTTAAACCAACAGTGGGGAATCAGTCTACCGAATGTCCTTAAAAGATGTAAATATCTTACAAAAACATTGGTGCCTTATTTGTTTAATTGTTTTAAGGGACATAATTTCCAGCTTTATTCAAAGTAATTCAGATATTTTAGTATAAAAATAAATGCCTCATCGCAAAAAAAGTGCTGCATTTAGACGTGAATAGATTCATAAAACATGCAAGATAACAACAAATCTTAGCTGGCTTTTGTCCAAGTATTTTGTACAGGTGTCTGTCAAAAATTAATGATTCACTGAGACAAATATGAACTGCCTCATTGTGTGACTACTGTATTATATGAAAAGTAAAATAAAAAACACCCTTTATGAATAGCTATCATGTTGCAAACTCTGCTTTGTATGCAAATCAACTTGAATAGTTAGTTGGTGTCCAGTGGAGGGAGAAGTCAACAGTACTGTTGCCTCCTGAGACTCTACATCTTCAAACACTGCAATCTTTGAAGTGCGTTTTTAAACCAGTATTATAAAAACTATATCATTCTGTTCTAATAGCTGAAACATATTCCTGTGAGTTTTCATTTGTCGAATGAACTGTTTGTCAAATACAGAATACATATATTTTAGAACAATTTTCTTTTTAAAATGTGGATGAAATGTTTTGCTTTTTATGTATTTTTTATGTATTGTTTTTGATTTGATAACGTTTGAACTGAACAGATTTTCTATTACCTTCAGATCTTGATCAAAGT